ACACACACACACACACACACACACACACACACACACACACACACACAGATAATGAGCATCCAAAAGACCTGGGTCTCCATTATGTCCAAGATAAATGGGGCAGCATTTAGAGGATTCAAAATGTTCAAGCAATACGGGATAAAATGAGAAGAAAGTTGGTGAAACCAATGGAAAAGAAAGAAGAAAAAGTAGGTCAGACGAGGAGAAGAGGGAGATGGTGAGTTGAAGGCTTCACTCACTCCCTGTTATCCTCATGACTGTGATCTCATATACTGTGAAATGACACATGGTTTTAATCTTGCAGGAAAGGAAAGTTCAGATCAATCATGTAAGAAACTGAAAGTTAAATCCACATAGAGGCTGAAACTCAACGCATACGTTTTGAATAATATATCACTCATATAATGCTCACACACACACACACACACACACACACACACACACACACACACACACACACTACAAAGTGTATTTTGCAGCTTTTCTTTTCAAGGTTTAAAAAAGGAAGTAATGATTGTGTTTGATAAACATGTTTGCTGTGGTGTGTGTGTGTGTGCTCCACAGTGGCAGGTTGCATTAGAGCTTGTAGAATGACTTATCTTAGACGGATAAGAGTGCCTGCACTGTGCCAACTGATTGCATTACCACCGGCCAGCTCCGATATATGAGCACGCACAAAGACTTACATTCATAACACAGACTCATTTCTCAATTTCCCCCTCAACTGTCATCTTCTCTAAGTCGCCATGGAGACCTGCCATCACCCGCTCTGCATTTAGTGACACAGCATTCAGGGACAGGAAGGAGCTGCTGCCAACTAATACTGAGAGTCTGAAGCCTTCCAATGGTCATCACTGATGGTACTCTAGAGAACCGAAATACATTCATTTTGTTCAGCCTTAAAAGCATTTAGAATCACTATTTCTTTACCAACAAAGGATCAAACGACTATGTGTAACGTGAAAGGTGTTGCTCGTAGTAATAAGTCCAAAGAGAATTATCACCCGACTCTGCAGTTCACCTCAGATCACCGTTTATGTTTTCTTCAGCACGCAACGTTAGAGGTTATGTTTCCTCAGTACAAAAGCTCAGATAACTGACTGTACGCCACTTGCTCCGCACCAAACCGTTGTCAAGTCAAGCTGCAAAACATAGAAGAACATTCAGCAGCTAAAGAGTCTGATATGGATGCATGACAAGCATTCTTCCTCATCTAACCCAACAGTGAAGAGCACAGATGGGCAGAAAGATTAATGATGGGGGGGTCATTATCAGCCCTTCTCTTTCGTTTCACTGCTAGGAAGCAGACAACAATACTGTGAATACTACAAGAAAGAGGAACAATTGCAAGAAGTGGACTGTTACTAAAGTGGAAGAGAAGAGGAGGTCGATAACTTTGTGTTCGGATCAGTGCCAAGATGGACAGGCTGGGAAATATAACATGACCTGGTTTGCTCTCATGAGGCAACAGTGGCCTTCTTCTTGCTGCAGCCCCGATTGAGAGAAAATGAAGGCGAGGAGAGCAGCTGGTGGCCTGCTTCACCATCTGACCCCCCTGTCCTCCTCCAGGATACAGGCACAGACCATCCAGAGCTCTGCATGGAGTCGGTTGAGCCGCTAACTGTCATTGGTTGTGAACACATGGCTGACCACACCCACTCCATCATCAGCCAGCCAGGATGTGTTTTCCACAAAAGGTACACAGGCTTATGAAAAAGGATGCATCACCATACGAGTATCCGATTCGATATCTGCTGATCATGGACACTAACGTCTAACATTAAAAAAAGGACTTGAAATTTGAAAGAGCAGAGTCATTTTTTAACGGAAAGCTTCGAAAGCAATTCCATAGAAAGAATACTAAACTAGACTTTTGTAAACCATGACTTTGCCCTCATATTAGCTGCCGTTTTGGAGAGCTGACACACCAACAGAATTGCCCATATTCATATGTGAAGAAAAAACAAGATCAGCTGGCTTTTAAATCAGACTCACAGTATATTTCCACCAAACACTAAAAAACAAATATGTAACATTTTCTTAAAACTTAAATCCCTATCCGCTCTCTTATCCCTATATCTCCCTCTTGTCCCATATAGTTCCTCTTGTTCACTCTCTCTGCATCCTTTTTTTGTGGCCAGATTCTGTCTATCCACTCACAGATGGGAGGTCCACCCCACAGGGGAAATTGCGTCATCAATACCCCTAAAGCATCCCCCACACCCTGTTCTTTCTCTCTCTCTCTCTCACACACACACACATGCACACACACACATGCACACACCCTTTCCCCTCACTCACTGCGTGTTACAAGCTGGACCGATCTGAGTGTGCGTCTCCTAGCGTTTCTGTTAATGAAGCGGCTATTCAGCCATAAATAGGGGAGGCCCTAATTAAAACACACAGATAGATGAGCTTTTAACTGACAGCTGTGGGGGAATGGGGGAGGGAGAGCAAGATGTGCGTGTGTGTGTAAGAGCAAGAGAAAGTGAAGGAGAAGCAGAGTTCGGGGGCCTAGTAGTGACAATGAGGTCATTTCCCGGAAAGCCTCCGTGTGTACGTGGTCATTTACAAGCCTCGCCTCGTGACGACACATAAATCATGGTGGGCAGCGCAGTGACGTACATACGCACATATTTCTAGAGCACAGAATCAAACAATGGAAACACTTTTTTCTTGTCACTCGCACCTACAAACCCATTCAAAGTCAGTATCAACAAAAAGAAATACCCACAGCATTTGTGTTCAGTCTACAACTGAATGTGTATGTGTAAGCACAATTACATGCGAGTTCCCCTCAGGAAAAACTGAGCTGCAGCGCATGATAAAGAAAGAAGCAGCCAATAGCACGAGACAAAACATGAACACCATGAGCTAGTCAGGACCAAGCACACGTTTCTGTCTGTACACTATGCTATCAAGAGTTTCAGTTTAGAATTTATACTTACGACCATACTACAGAAGACAATATTGTGAGTAGAAAATTAAGATGTTATCTTTAGTCAAGTACGTTTAGACTACAAACACATCTAACATTCACAGTATTTAGCTAAAGACGACTTCATTATGAGATGATCTGAGGGAGACACACAGAAAGACAAGAGGGAAATGGTTCCTCAATAGCATGCTCGGGGGTTTGGGGATTGAGATCTGTTTTGCATTTCCTGCCTCGGAGTTGGGGTCTGGAGCAGAGGAGAAGAGGAGCTGGGGAATTCTGGGGCCTCATCGTGTACTGACCTCTGAAAGCACCCACTCTGGTCCCACAATGTGATGATGTCACTGGGGTATATGGGAATTGTACAATCAGGGTTTTAGGGTTCATAAGGCACAGATGTGCAGCACAAACACCCACACAATGAAAAACACACAGTGCATCATGTGAGGGAGGCGTGAGCTGTGTGTGTGTGCGTGTGTGGGTGTGATGTCATTATGGGAGTACTGGGTGGCTCTGTAGACTGTCATGATGAAAAGTAAACACCCAAATTCATTACTACGCTTGGACGCCAGGAGTAATATTTATAAAAAAAAACATCTGAATTGATGCGGTTCTTTGTTTATCGCTCTGGCTACCCAATGTTTACTGTGAAAACCTTCTTTGTCTTCACTTGCAGTTTGAGTTATATCAATAACCTATTTCCAGTAGATCTGGACTGATAACAGCTTACTGTAGACATACTGGTGTTGGCGTATATACAGCATAAACATCTTTGCTATTTTTGTGGTCATTTGGAAGCAGTGTCTCCATTTCATAGTTTTCTAAACAAATGCAATCAATCCTTATCCCGTGTGTTTACTGTTACTGTTACATGCCTTTGTAAAAAGAAAAAGACTTTCAGTGGATGTTTTTGCACTCGGCTTATATTTTCTATCTGCAGGAATGAGTCCTGAAACCAGAATAAGTTAAGTTAGACTTTGGATGCCTGAGATAGTCTGTGGTTAAGATTTTAACATTTTGTTCTACAATATAAAATACACACGTAGATACCCCTCTCGTACATTTTAAAGCTTTTACGGGAGTTATAAAATGTGGTTGCTAACAAGTGCCTAAATGAGTCTATAAAATGTCATCGCGTCGACTAGTCCGCCTTTACAGCCTCGATGTGTATACTTGCGCTCATGAAACCTTGATGCATTTCATTTATAGCTTAATGTTGGCTTTTTACTTTTTACAGGAGTTGGCCTACAAAAACACGTCAGTCTTTGTTATCTGGAGCCTCCACTTGGGAAAGCTTTCATGGATGCTTCTTAGGATTTTCTGCCACAGCTTGTCATACTCCAAGCTGCTGCTCTGTCGCTATGGTCTCCCTCCCTTCCCACTTTTAGCTCTGGCTGGTTCAAGATGACGTGAAACGCATCACCGGTGCACCAGCACGGGAAAGTATCCACAGACACCAGACACTACAACTCTGGTACGCTGCAAAATACAGTGAGGCGTTAGGCTTAATCTGCAACGTGTGAATTTGTTCGGCAAGGGCTTGAAAGTAACAGACGGTTATTATTATTTAAATGTAAAAGTTGGCACCTCAGCTTTTAAAGTAAAAACTATCCCATCACACAAAGGCCCTTTGTACGGATGATATTATAATTTTGGATAACGGCCGAAATAGAGGAACCTTTATAAGACGACTTCTCGTTCTGCATTTTAACTTAAGTTTAAAAAAACATTCATCACTTTGGCAACAATTGTATGTACAATGTTAATTTGGTTCTGGGGTCTGATCAGAATCACAGTGTTGTGATCTTGGCTTGGAAACAGTTGTCTCTTTAAATCTGTGTCCGAGTTACTTTCCATCCCTCTTCGTGACATGCATCTGTGGGCTAACCACCGCAGCGGCTGCATTTGGTCTTGTCCGACTAAAATGAGAGTTTGGCTGCTTCCATATCTGGCTTTTAAGAGTTGATAGCAAGGCGAGCAAGTATCCACATCCGTTAGTCGACGTGACCCAACGTGTTTGGATGAAGAATAACCGACATCTTTTGTTG